GAGAATGGTATTTAGAAACCAAGATTTGGGTGCTGGGTGTGCTTGTTGTCTCCAGGGTGTGTCACTGATTATAGGTTCTGTGTGCAGACAAGTATAGTATATATGTGTGAATATTCCCCTCGCCATGTCCCCATGTACACATACCGATGATTATATCTGTACGTATCTTCCCGCATACATTAGATATGACCTCATAGCGATGTCTCTGATGAAGTCAGCAGAGATGGTTCATTCTGTCTTTCCCCCTTTGCGTATTTATAACTTCTCTCTTGGACAGTGAGAAGCCCAGCTCTCACTACCAATAGTTCATTTATTTACTTGTTCAATGCTAATGTCTGTAAAGTAGTTTTAAAATTGCTAACCTGTACCCCTGTGAGAACCCGCTTTACCTACTGGAGGACAGCATTTCTGTCCAGTCCCTTTTGTGTTCAGCCTTCTGGTTCTCGATCAAGATGCTGTTTCGCATGTAGGTCAGCTCCATGGTTTTTCCCAACACTTTAAGTGAGGTTATGTCATGCAGCTTTTTTTTTTTTAAGTTTATTTTTGAGAGACGGGGGTAGGGGGAGGGAGGAACGAAGGGAGGGGGCGGGAGAGAGAGAGAGAGAGAGAGAGAGAGAGAGAGAGAACGAGCAGGGGAGGGGCAGAGACAGAGAATCCCAAGCAGGCTCTGTACGTCAGTTCAGAGCCTGACGCATAGCTCAAACTCTCAAACTGCGAGATCATGGCCTGAGCCGAGATCAAGAGTCAGACACTTAACCAATTACGCCGCCCAGACGCCCCTGTCATCCAGTTTTAACATACTTAGATTCACTTGTCACAGCCCACATTTCATGCAGCGGTTCTCTGATAGCCTGGTTGATTTTTTTTTTTTTTTAAACTGCGTCCATTGAAGTTCACTCTTTGTGACTTGCAGTCTTAAAGTTTTTGATAAATGTATAGAGTCACGTGTCCGGCTCCTCAGGGCCTTACAGAACAGTCCCGTCACCCAACAATCTTCTCCTTGTACTTCCTTCCTCACTCCCAAACCTTTGGCAACCCCAGACCTGATTTGTGTCCTTTTAGTTTTGTGAGGCCTGACTGCGGATAGCAGCCTTTGGTTTGTTTGTTGTCAGTGAAGAGCATTGCTCGTAAGCAGGGGTTACCTTGCTTTGTGATCGGAGCTGGTTGCTACCAGGATTGAGGTCCCACCCTGGCGTTTACCTCTGTAGTCTCAGTTTTCTCATCTGTAAATGGGTATGATAATAGTCCCAGCCTCGTGGGGGGGGGGTGGGTATTGGCAGGGCTAGATGGGTAACAGCTGTGGGCTCGGCCCCAGAGTAATAGTGCTTGGTATTTGTTATCCTCCTCATCACCATGCCGAGGTATGAAAAAAAAGAATGTCAGGGGCCCCAAAATACTGCCCTCTTGGGTTGATGGTGACAGTGAGAATGCACGCAGAGCTATTTCCCTGTGGGGGCGGGATGAGGGCGGAGGATCTGTGGCCACACAGAGAGGGTCCTCTGGTGCCTCTTTGTTAGCAGGATCCGTCCTGGGATGAGAACGTGGAGGGGAGGGGCAGAGAGAGAGAGAGAGAAAGAGGATCCGAAGCACAGAGCCTAACGTGGGGCTCAAACTCAAGAGCCATGACCTGAGCTGAGTCAGATGCTTAATGGACTGAGCCCCCTGCCCATGCCCCCGCAGAAAGGACTTCTAAAAGAAGTAAATCACCATAATCCTGACACCCAAGAGGTTCATATTTTGGTAGCCGTTGTCACCCCGTGCCTGAATTTTTATACAGATGTAGACCTTTTATTGATGGTCTCATAAACATTCCTCCCCCTTGTTGCCACATAGTGTTTACAGTGATACTTCATGAAATATGACAGTTTCATCAGAGGCTTCGCCAGCCTTCTCTAAACCACGCCCACTGTTTTGGGGTACAACTTCATGAGTATCATTCTTCGCTCCTGCTGATTTTTATTTTCTCAGGGTATATCCTCTAGAGTAGGATTCCTCCGTCAAAGAGGATAGTAATATCTTTGTAGCTTTATTCATAGCATTTTACAGAAATAAATCATCCTATCCTTTTTTGTATGTTCACCTATATTTCATCAAAATGCAACCATTGGAGGCTGTGATCAAACATCTGGCCTAGCAGCGCAGGCTAGTGCTCCCACACGTCATTACTAAATGTATCCTCTAACTGTAACATTTGTCTGAGAACCATGATTTTCCAGGAGTAATTTCCCCCTCAGTGCTCACTACTCCCCCCCCCCCCAACTTCAAGTTCTCCTCCTCCTTACTGGGAGAGGGAATGCTCCCAAAGTCTCAGGAACTTTTCTCAGAAACTCATCCTTTATTTACATTAGGAGTCAGGACTTGTTTGCATATGTAAAACCAGGGCCATATTGTTTGCAGATGCTAGAGGTGCTGCCAGATAATTGAATGTAAAAAAGTTGCAGCGTTTACATCGTGGTGTTTTTTTTTTTTTACAAACCTGGACGCAAAGGAATATTTTCTTAGAATGCAAAAAGAAAAAAAAAAGGCAAGCAAATAGAGATTGTGGGATTGGGTTTCTAATTCAAACATTTCACTTTGTGTTCCGGGTAGTGGCATTTCAAACCCACAGAAGATTCGGGCCCTGGAGAGAAGGGGGCGGGTGGCCGATAAAACTGCAGATTCACCGTATAATCCAAAGAAACACAGGCATGAAAGGAGTTAGGATAAGTGACCAAACAAAAACTCAATCCCAGTATTTTATGATCCCACCTACTAACCTTAACAGCAACCTCCCCCTCCCCAATAGTTTCCTGTTTAGTTATTTTATTTTACGATAAGAGCAGTTCAGAAGTCATTGTGTTTCCTATCAGTATTTGATAAAGCCTCCCTCCCTTTCAGGAGAGCGGCCCAGATGCGATCGCTGGGTTGTTAAAAGCGAATTGGCTTTTAGCTTTAAATGCTTTTGTTTAAAGAAAGGAAATGAGTATGGCTTCTAGCCTGTCTCGCAATGATAAAAACAGATGAGAGCAGTCTCACACAAATTGATTGGCTTCGAGGAGAAGGCTGGATTCTTTTTCCATGTAAATTCTGAAATCTGTAATAGTATCTGCAAATACAACGATGTGGTGGGAGGGTGGGGGCGCGTGAGTTCTGAGTCCTCACTCACGGCTGTATCTGAATCCAAATCCTCGGGCAGCTTCTGCGTTCTGGTTCAGCGACATTGGATGGTCCTCCGCCGCAGAGAGCCAAGCCCAGGGCAACAAGGCCCGCCCAACTTGGGGAGAAAGGTGCTGGTGGGGGGAGCTTTGTAGAGCTCCTGATCCTGGGCTGCTGCAGCCAGAGGCAGACCGGGCTTGGCTGGAGTCCCGTCTCCTGTGAAAATTCCAGGCTTGGTGGGTCAGGGGCTCAAAACTAGGGATGACATTCTCATCTCCTCCAAAGCAGTGCTTTAGAAATAACAGTTTTGGAAGGGCGACTGGGTGGCTCAGTCAGTTGAGCATTCAGCTTCAGCTCAGGTCATGATCTACGGCCTGTGAGTTCGAGCCCTGCATTGGATTCTATGCTGACAGCTCAGCCTGGAACCTGCCTCGGATTCTGTGTCTCCCTCTCTCTCTGCCCCTCCCCTACTCATGCTCTGTCTCCCCCTCTCTCAAAAAAATAAATGAACATTAAAAAAAAAGTAACAGTTTTGGGGTGCCCAGCTAGCTCAACTCTTGATCTTGGGGGTCATGAGTGAGCCCCACGTTGAGCACAGAGATTACTTTAAAATAAAAAGTAAAAAAAGTTTTGGGGGCACCTGGGTGGCTCAGTTGGTGAGCATCTGACTTTGGCTCAAATCCTGATCTTGCGGTTTGTGGGTTCAAGCTCCACATCAGGCTTGCTGCTGTCAGCCAGTCAGTGCAGAGCTCGCTTCACATCCTCTGATCCCCTCTCTCTGCCCCTCCCCCACTTGCACTGTACAAAAAGTAAATAAATATTTTTTAAAAAGTTGTATTTGCTTGCTGTACCATTTTCAAGGGATTTTAAATTTTTATTTATTTGTTTTTATTGAGAAAGATTACAGTTTTATGCTTGAACCTTTGGCGGTGGTATTGCATTTTGTCACTCAACCTATTTAGGATTTGCTTTGTTTTACCTTTAGGGAGATTTTTGTTTGCTTCCTAGAGAAAGGTTAATACTTCATTCTTGTTGGGACTCAAGTCTTGGCTGGTTTGGGGATTAAGGGCCAGTCATTTCACCTTCCTAAACCGAGATTTGTGCTTTGGGACTAATTTCTTCTTCTTCCTCTTCTTCTTCTTCTTCTTTTTTTTTTCCAACTTTGTCCCCTCTGTGCAAGGCAGGGACAAAAATCTGGGCCTCGAGGTTACGGTTATACCACCATAGCGGAGCTGTGATGTTTGACCCTATTTCTGGGCTAATCCTTTCCCCTTCACCCAAATCTAGCACAGGACTGGGCATGCGTAGATATCCTTTTTAGACTGTACTGAGCCAAATTTTCTAGGCCAAGGATCCCTGCTGGTAAGAATAAAGGAAGATGTCATCTGGGTGGATTAGGCCTGGGCCTGGGTCTGAGGCCAGCGGGCTACTGGGTGGGGGTGGGGTGGAGTGGGGGTGCAGGGAGGGAGCCTGGGGCTTCCGGGGTTCCTGAGGACCCAGGGCTACAAGGTCCAGTTTTAGGCGGCCCTGCCCAGCCCCCCTCTCCTCCGCCTTCCCTTCTTCGTGCCGACTTCATGGTCACTTTGGCTTTTCTGGATTTGTATTTGAAAATGCTGTGACAAAGCAGAAACCTGCCACCATCTTTTTAGGGGCTCCCGAGTAATTGCTGTGTGTTTATATTTGTTCCTCCTCTCACACCCTATCTGCCTGTAGCATTTAACAACCTCATAATAAATGTTTTCGGAAATGCCACTGCCAGTGTAATCTTTCCAATACATCAGTTTTTGCTGACTTTTCCACTTTTACCCCTCTCTGCTCTCAAACTCATGCTCATTTTTTCCCCCTCTCTTTTCTTCCCGATTCAGAAGTTGGAGGGACTGGCCAAGCACCGGACAGTTCGGGAAGCGCCAACCGAGTGTGTCTGTCCCCCAGGTAAGTGGCTGTTTGATTCTTGCGAGCCCTTGACTTCCCGGAAGCCTGTCGTCCTGACTCCTGTCTGCTCAGAACCGCTGAGGACATGGTCAAGAGGCTTGCACTGGGTTTCAATCCATCTGTTGTACCTCATGGACCATCTGGGGTCTTTTTCTTCCTATGTCTTCCCTCTTGACCAGTTCACTAGTCAAAGCTTCTAGAAGGGATAACTGCCTGGTTTGATGAAGGTGGTGGCCTTGGGGTAGGAACTAACAAACTGTTAGAAATGACTTATGATGAAAAATACCCCCCAAAACCAAAAAAACCCCAAAACCGTCAAAAAGAAATGGCTTGTGATGGGAAAAAAAACCAAAAACCAAACAAATGAAAAAACAAAAGAAACGACTTATGATGACGGCTTAGGTACTAGGAAGCAGGCATGGACCATCCACACAATATTAACCGTGTGACCCCAGCTCTGTTCAGACACGAGGGGGTAAGTAAGTAATCCGGTGACTAGAGGTCTTTTGGTTTTCATTTCTTTTGGTGGAGGTAGAGGAGGGATGATGGGAACGTGGTCTGAGTGATTCAGATAATCATGTCTGTCTTAGGTTTTGGTGATGCATCCATGATGGCTGTGAATAAGAGCAGGATGTGTGGATTCCCAATCCATGCGGCTGAATTCTGATACCTATCGGGTCTTCTGGTTGTCCTCATGGGGGCCGCGTACAGACCAGCACTGAGAATTTAGGTGTGCAGGCTTGGCCCTGGTATTTTCGGGGTAAGAATTCTCCTCTGCAGGACAGTGTGTAATACCAGTGAATGAGTGGAAAATCGCAGTGCTTCTTAGATTTCCCACCGTGCCGGACAAGGTGTAGACACACGGGAGCTGAGCCCGGGGGCCCCAGTCCGTGCTGCCATTCCTTCCATGAGCCAAGCTGTCTGGCATTTCCCAATCCACTTCAGCTGGCCTAGACACAAAGCGCATTGAAAGCTAACATCTCCATATTGGGAGGTGCCCTTGGGTTTCTGTAAAGGTGGATCTCATGGTGTGAAGAACTCAGTCTCCAAGGGCCCTGTGGGAGAGGATCTTATGGGCAAAGCTTGAATTAGTCTTTATCGTAGTACCTCTAACAGTTTAATAGCAAAAGGGACATGACGAGTAACGACATCATTAGCAGATCAGCAGGTCAGATGTTTGAGTCAATAGGGGAAAAGATTCAGATCCACAAATGAGTTTTAGGATAATCTGAATTCCCCTCCTCCTCTTTCTGAGTGTTGAATGGGTGTCAGTTCATGTGAGCTATGTGGGTAAGTGTTTATTAAACCTTGAGTCATGGGGCACCTGTGTGGCTCCGTCGGTTAAGTGTTTGACTTCGGCTCAGGTCATGGTTTCACGGATCATGAGTTCGAGCCCCGCATCAGGCTTTGTGCTGACAGCTCAGAGCCTGAAGCCTGCTTCGGATTCTGTGTCTCCCTCTCTCTCTCTCTCTCTGCCCCTCCCCTATTCATGTTCTGTCTCTCTCTCAAAAATGAACATTAAAACAATAAATAAATAAACAGAGTCACAAAGCATTTGTGAGATATGAAATCAGTTCCGTGGGTTGCAGCCAGCATTTTGAAATCTTGAACTAGCCATGGAGTGGAATAAAAACCAATCGGAGTGAAGTTTTTGTTTGAGCTATTTCTATTTGTAGTGCATGACCTGGATGGCAATTGAAATGGGTTTCCTGCTCCGCGTTGCTGGCTGCAAGTTTGAAAGTCCCAAATAAGGCTAGACAGGTAGAAGAGGCAGTGAGGGGGCACGGAGCTCCTGAATAAATCTGAACCAGGTTCAAATCTTGGTCCGTCACTTATTAACAATCAAGGTCTTCATCAAAAAATGATAACAGCGCTGGAGTGGGCTCCATAGGCATTTTTGAGGTCATAGAGAAAGTGTAGGTCAAAGCCTATGACCCAGAGGGATCCTGTGACTTACCTCCCTTTGGGGGGTCCTGAACCACCAAGAGAGGTTCCAAGAGGGTCCCAGGGAGGACCCTGGGGACTGAAAGTCTGGTCAGAAACCCCTAGTCCTGCCGAGAGGAGAGCAGCGGCCTCTCCTGCTCTAGGAGGGGTCAGCACTGCGCTGCGGTTGTCAGAAGGGCTCTGGGCTACCATCAAGCTGTTGGGGGAGGTATTCTCAGCATGGTCATTGTGGCCAGCACTGCCAGGCCCTGATGGCTGAGCAGGGGAGGGACGGAGAGAGGGAATCCCAAGCAGGCTCCGCACTATCTGTGCAGAGCCTGATGTGGGGCTCCAGCTCACGAACCATGAGATCATGACCTGAGTCGAAACCAAGAGTCAGATGCTTAACTGAGCCACCCAGGCGCCCCTCACTGGAGCCCTCTGGACCAGAGACCTTCATCCCTGTCGGCTGGCACATTCTCCCTGTCACAGAAAGGACAGAGGCCTTTTTCTCTAGCACTGGAAGCCTTCACTGATTCCTTTCTCCCGGGCTCTGATTTTCTCCGCAGACTTTCAGAGTCTGGACTTGCACATCACCCTCTGAAGCTCTGGCCCCACATCTGATTTGAGATACTCACAGATGCCCCCCAGCTGCCCTGGTTCCTTCTCATGGCCTGGGGACTGTGTGATCTTTTGTCAGCTCCTGGGAGATCTGATCAAAGAGATTAGCGAGGCCAGAGGAGGGGGCCACTCTTCCGTGTGTTGCCCATTGTGAAATGGGAGCCATGGAGCTGAGAAGGGGGCAGGCCTCTTGCCCTACCCGGCGGCTGGCGAGAAGGCTGGCAGGGCTGTGCCCTGTGACCTCAGACAAGGGAGGGGCCTGAGCCTTGCCCCTCTCGACTTTAAAATGAGGTCATCCAGGATTTAGGGCGGGCCCTAAATCCAGTGACGAGTGTCCTTATGAGACAGAAGGGAGAGATTTGAGACACAGAGCAACACGCAGAGGAGCCCTCCAGAGGACAGAGGGGTGCATCTAGGAGCCCAGGATTGCCCCCAGCCACCAGGAGCTGGAGGAAAGCAGTGGGAGGGGATTCTCAAAGGAACCAAACGCAGTGACACCTTGAGTTTGCACTTCTCGCCTCCCGAACTGTGGGAGAATTTCTGTCCTTTTAAGCCACTTAGTTTGTGGTGACTGGTTGGGGCAGCCCTAGCAACAGGACAGGAAGGTGAATCACCCCGAGCACCTTAAGGTTGCTGCAGGGGTCGAAATTTCTCTGTGGGGGTGCGATGGGGGGCTGCTGCCTGGGAGTCTCCCCCCTCCCCCACGCTGCTCTTTCTCATTCACCTGCCTGGAGAGATGCTTCTCCGCTCCTTCAGCAGAGATCTCCAGGTTTCAGATGCAGACGACTTACCCAGCACTCTTCTTATGTTACCCACGTACTGAATGTTTAAAAGTGGTTACTTGTTTTTTAAGTATTTATTTACTTATTTTAAAAAAAAAATTTTTTTTTAATGTTTATTTCTAGGAGAGAGAGACAGCGTGAGCAGGGGAGGGTCAGAGAGAGAGGGAGTCACAGACTGAAACAGGCTCTAGGCTCTGAGCTGGCAGTCAGCACAGAGCCCGACGCGGGGCTCGAACCCACGAACCGAGATCATGACCTAAGCGAAAGTCGGACGCTTAACCGACTAAGCCACCCAGGCGCCCCAATTTATTTACTTATTTTGAGAGACAGCGATAGTGCGAGCGGGGGAGGGACGAGAGAGAGAGAGAGCGAGCGAGCGAGAATCCCAGGCAGGCTCCCCCACTGTCAGCACAGAGCTTGATGCAGGCCTCAAACTCATGAACTGTGAGATCGTGACCTGAGCTGAAACCAAGAGTCAGACGCTTAACCGCCTGAACCGCCCGGTGCCCCTAAAGTGATTATTTTTGAGCAGGAAATGACGTATGATGTGATTAAAAAGCAAGCTCAATTACTACTAAGGATCACATGTGAAGAGTAATTCTCCTTTCCCATTCTCCCCCTTCTCCTGCTCCCCTTTCTAGAGACTGCCAGTGTGCCACTGGCTTTCATGAGCAGCGCTGCCCAGTAGAACCTCCTGTGATGTGGAAATGATCTGTTGTCTAGGCTAATACGGCAGCCACTGCTGGCTCTCCGGCCCTTGACATTGTGGTTAGTGTGACGGAGGGGATGAATTTTAAAATTGTTACTCAGTTTAAGTGGCCACATGTGGCAATGGTATGGGGCAGCCTGGTTTTTGAGGTAGTGTGTGTACATTTCAGTGAGTAGCTCCTCTCCTGTTCTTTCCGCAAAGCGTATCATAGGCTGTTGTCCCTGAATGGCTTTCTTTGATTCAGTTTCTCCTTGAGATGGTGCATCAACCTGCGTATCATGCAGAGAGTACATACTGCATTGTTTTGGTTAAATGGTGGCATCTTTATCCATTGTTGGGCTGTTCTGTGAAGTGCCTGGGCAGTACCCACCAACGATGTTTGGGTGATTTTCTGTCCTGTGTCCTTTTTTTAAAAAAAAAGTTTTATTTATTTATTTTGAGAGGGAGAGAGCGAGTGAGCATGGGCAGGGGAGGGGCAGAGACAGAGAGGGAGAGAGAGAATCCCAAGCAGGCTCCGCACCGTGGGGCTCGAATTCACGAACTTCGAGATCATGACCTGAGCCGAAATCAAGAGTCGGATGCTTCACTGACTGAGCCGCCCAGGTGCCCCTCCTGTCCCGTGTCCTTACAGCCCAGCCTGCAGGAAAGCATTGAAGGGGAGGAGGACTGCCTTTTCACTCTGTTCTCTGCCCTCCTCATGCCTTGTACCAAAGCCGGCCCTGAGCCAGGCACCGCTGCCGCGCCTGGGGGTGTCATGCCAGAAGGACGGGAGCCCACAGTCTGTTGGCGGAGGCTGCCGTCAGGGCAGCAGTTCTAGGATATTGCATGAAGGGCCCTGGCAGGGCTATTCCCAAGCCTGTCTTGTGGCAGAGGAAGGCACAACCCTGTCCCCACTGCTATAAGAGCAGTCATGACCCGGGAGCATCCTAAGGGATTTGGAGCCTGAGAGCCCTGGATTTGAATCT